GGGGGGGGGGGAGGCGTGCTTCAAGAAGGGAGAGGCAGCGACTGGGCCAAATGCCCCTGTTTGAGTCCGAACGGGTTCCTCCCTCTGTCCGCCGCGTGGCCATCGGTGATGCGGACACAGCGGTGCTGGTGGATGAGGGCGCCACTGGATTGGGCTCAAGAGATGAGGAGCAAAGAAGCAAAGGGAGACAACCGTTTTGAGAAATTTTGCCTTACAAGGAATAGAGAACAGAGATAATAATTGGAGGCGGAACGGGATCAGGTTTTTGTGGTGGTTCTGAGTCGCGCGGTGTATGTTTGGCAGTGGGAAGGATGCGTCACAGGTGGACAGGTGGCGGGGCCCTGGGATGCGTCACAGGTGGTCGCTGTGTCCTCCAGCAGGAGACAGGGCCGGGGCTGCTGCGCACAGTGGGTTTACGGGAGTCGAGTGGGCATGACCGTGGTCTTTTCTCCAGCCACGTCTCGCAGCTCCGTAAAGACTCAGAGCAGGAAGGGGGTTTGATGCAGAGGGTGGAGCACGGCTGTGGGGAGGGACGTTGGGACTGAGTATTGCTGGACGTGGGCTCTCCCTCAAGGGAGGGGGACAAGAAGAGAAAGCAGGAGCACGTCTGGGAGGCTCTATGGATTTGAAGAGCGGGGGAGTTTTTGGAGTGTCAGAGGTGGCTGGGGAGCAGGCTGCAGGGAGTGGAGGGTGCAGAGGGGCGGGGTTATCAGTGGTGACCACGCCCAGGGCAAGCCCCTCCTTGCAGGATGCAGAGGGGCGGAGTTGTCAGTGGTGACCACGCCCAGGGCACGCCCCTCGTTGCAGGAGGCAGAGGGGCGGAGTTATCAGTGGTGACCACGCCCAGGGCACGCCCCTGGTTGCAGGTGAATGAGTGGAAGCAGGGGACAGCTCCCTGGAGGAGATCGGGTGTGTCAAGCAACTTTTATGTGCCAGGCTGATCTTTGCGTACATTAATGCAGTGACCTCATTAATTCATTGACCTCATTAGTTCCTCTCCCAGAGCGATAGCAATGGCTAATTATTTCCCAGCTTCGTCCTGTTAGTTAAAAAGAACACGGAATTCCTAAGTCTAGCATTTTCTTAGGAAATTGAAGGAGATTAAGGGGTAGTCCGCACGATTGAAGTGTCATGAATACAGGGGCGCCTGGGTGTCTCAGTCGGTTAAGTGACTGACTCTTGGTCTGGGCCCAGGTCATGATCCCACTCTTCGTGCGTTTGAGCCCCACATCGGGCTCTGTGCTGACAGTGCGGAGCTTGCTTGAGATTCTCTCTGTCCTTCTCTCTCTGTTCCTACCTGACTTGCACTCGCTCGCTCTCAAAATAAATAAACACTAAAAATAAAAGAATCCTTCTGGCTTCAAATTTCTCTTTGAAAAAAAAAAAGAAAGAACAACTCATGAATACAAACAGATTTCTCAACTTAAATGGGACTATTAGGATTTAAGACATCACTCTCGGGGCGCCTGAGTGGCTCAGTTGGTTAAACGTCCGACTTCAACTCAGGTCATGATCTCATGATTTGTGGGTTCGAGCCCCGCATCGGACTCTGTGCTGACTGCTCAGAGCCTGGAGCCTGCTTCGGATTCTGTGTCCACCTGTCTCTCTGCCCCTCCCCCACTTGCACTCTTCCTCTCTCTCTGTCTCAAAAATACATAAACGTTCAAAAAATACAAAAAAAATCCCTCTTAACACTGTTGTATGGTATTCATAGATCTTCGTGGGTCGGTTTGTCAATTTCAGAATAATTTTTGGCCAATCACTATACTCCTGTTTTTTAAACTGTTTAAAAAAAATCCCACAGGTGTTACTTGTTTTAAGCCTGAAGTTTTCATATCTTTTTATTTACTTAAAAAGTATATATTGTTGCTATGCACTGCCCCAGTTATCCATAAGCATTCTTGATCCTAAATTCATTCTCTGTTTTTTTTTTTTTTTTTTTTTTAATAAATTACTTATGTGATTTGAGTAGCACTCTCAGAAATAAACCTGGTGGCCTATTGTGCCTCAGGGATGGACTAAGCATTTTTATAAACAGTGCCTGGTTTACAGTCCTCAGGACAGTCCTGAAATGCTGTCATTCCTGTGTTTCAGGAGGCGAAACAGGGCCAGAATGGTTAAGTATCTCAGGTTACACGGCTACTAAGCGGGAAGAGAGGTTCCGAGGCCAGTGTTCTGGGTTTCCCCTCTTGTTATCCTGTTAATCTGGGCCAAGATGCTTTACCCCATTTATTCGTTTAACCAACACGAACACCTGCTCTTGACCAGGCATGGTGACGGGCTTGCGGGAGAGAGAGGAGACAAACTGTCATCCCTGGGCTCACGTGCTAATTCTAAGTGGAGGGGCCCAGTGAGAGTTGTTTGTTTTCCAGGAAAATACCAAGCCCGAATTCTTTCTGAGAGCCTCCTCACCCCAGCGGAGTACCAGAAAGAAGTCAATTACGAGCTGGTTACCGGGAAGGTGGACTTGTTGGGGGCGTTTTTCAGCACCCTCTGTCCAGGTAAGCCCGTGGGGAGACCAGTGTAAATTCATGAGCGGGAAGGGCAGAAACGAAGACTCAGAGGTGAAGTCCTCTCGGAGGGTGTTCCCTGGGACCTGCCGAGGCTGGCCTGGATTTGGATGTTCAGGCCGTACCCTCCGTTGTCTGTATTAGCATTTACAACCCTTTCTGTGGTGGTTTCTGGCCGGCCATCTTCGTGCGCTGACTGTGGGCTCTCCTAGGTGGGGGGGCTTTGTGGTTTCTAGTTTTGGGGGCACACGAGGGTCTTGTGCCTCCTCTGTATTCCCTGGCCCCGTGCACGCCTGTTCCCCAGCTCCCCCTCCGGATAGCTTGCGGCTTCTTGCTGGAGCGGTGCCTCAGTCCGTGTGTTCTATGCTGTGAGTTCTGTGCCCTTCACCCCTCTCTGCCTGGCTCCTCACCCCATTTCCTCCCATAAACTGTCCCTGCCCCCCCCCCCCCCCCCCCCCCCCCCCCAGGATGGGCTCAGACCCCTTCCTCCTGTCCTTTAGCATCTGGCTCTTCTGTCCTGGCACCTACCACATCACCGTGCCATTTTCTCTGACTGTTTGCCTGCCTTACAAGCCGTGGGCTCCAGGGCTGGATGGGCCCTGGCTTCTTTATTTCCATTACCCCAGGCCCGGGACAGCACCTCATACCTAGTAGACGTTGCATGGATATTTGCCGAATTTCACTGGGATGGAAAACCCATTTCTATTTTTCTCTCTGTTTTGGGCAGAGGGGGACATTGACATTTTGCTGGACAAATTTCATCAGGAAAATCAAGGCCATATTTCGTCGTCACTTACTGCCTCCTCTGTCACCAAATCAGCATCCCTGGATGCACCGGCATGCACAAGTGAGTGACGCCAGGAAGCCAGCGGCCAAGGTCTGGGCTAGTGAGCCAGCGGCCAGGGGACGCCAGGGGTAGTGAGGAAGCAATGTTAGAGACGCATCCGGGAGGCAGGGCATCTTCTTAGCATCAAACTGGACTAATATATAATTTTAATTGTAGTCTTTAACACCAATAGTCTCCTCTTACCCTGAAATGCACACTTTTCCTGAGATAGTGCATTGCTCTGTGTTGCTTTCCAGCTTATCAGTGCCTTGTTGAAATAGTTTATTCCTCCCAAGTTCCCGAAGAGCTGTGATAGTTTCCTTCCCTTCCAGAGAACTTGCAGCCTCTTCCAAAGTCCAGTTTCGGTGTCACGTTCCCTGAGATGCTGTCTTTGTCCCCTTCGGGTACAGTAGGTCACTGCCTCTTGTTCCCTTCGGGTACAGTAGGTCACTGCCTCTGTGCTCCCTGAGTGCTGTTCATCCTTTTATTATTAAATTACAGACAGTGTGAAATGGTACATAGCCCAGAGCAGGCACCGGATAAATGTTGGTGTGTTTCCCCCTTTGGTCACTTTGTGCACTAGACAGGGGCCCCCTGCGTGACTCCCTAGCTCTCTGCTCTTGAGTGTACCTCGCCTTTATGGGGGCTCTGGTTCCAGGTTACAATCTGGAGCCCCACCACATCCGGCCTTTCCAGCTGGCCGTGGCTCAGAAGCTCCTCTCCCATGTGTGTTCAATTGCGGATTCCAGCACCCAGAATTTGGACTTAGGATCCTTCGAGAAGGTGGACTTTCTGATTTGTATTCCACCTTCAGAAGTGACCTATCAGCAAACCCTGTTCCGTGTCTGGCATTCAGGTACTGGGCAGGGGGGGACATTCAGGGGACACGTTGTGACGGCTACATGGAGAAGCTTTTATCCCCTTAAATTCAGATTTGGATTTGAAATACCAGTCTTTGCCTCCCAAGTAGGTAGGGCAAGTATTATTACCCCCATTTCGTAGATCATGAAACAGACGCTCAGAGATGGCAAATTGCCCAAGATCTTAAAATCCATTAAAGCCAGAACCATGACTTGAGTTTCCACTCTGTCCCGCTCAGGTCAATGACCTGTGTGTCGATATCCTGCTTCAACTTAATGTATTCTCCCTGTGTTTTCAAGGGGATGAAATACGAAATACATGAAGAGTCAATGTCTTAAATGTCCTAGCTTTATGTTATATAACCTGCAGCTCAGTGGCATTCAGGCTGGGAGATGATTTTGCTGGGGTTGGCGGGGGGCGGGGCGG